AATAATAATAATAATAATAATAATAAATTTTAAATTTATTAAAAAATTAATTAAAATATTTAATGTATTAAAAAATTTGAAATAAAAACTATCCTATCTTTTAAGTTGGACCAAATTACACGCGGAGTAAAAAATTTAATCAAAATCGGTAAAGTGGTTTAGGAGTCCATTGAGGACAAACATTGTGACATGAGATTTATATATATTAAGATATGCATAATAAACACTACATTAATATAATATTATGCATATAAACTCTATTATAAATTTATAACAAAATATATTAATATAATCAAGGAATATATTTTTACAACGCAGTAAAGAATTTTACATTTTAGTTACGAAATAAAAATTTAAAATTTATGAATTAATATTTATACCAATATTTCATTGAGTGGTTCCCTTAAATGTTCACCTCATACATTTTATTCACATTAATACAAAAAAGTGTATGGATAGAAAAATTATTAAAAGGTCAAAATTTAATAGAAATATAACATATTAACTAGGTAGTTCAATTTAAAATCATCAGAATTATAATAAATCGACTGCGGTTATCAAAGAAAGGTTGACGGCCGTACTGAATATACTTTTAATATAAAAAAGAGTTCTACACAATGCTTGGTGAATATGAAAAAAAAATCTCACGAGTATAATATGAATAGCTGGGGTAGTATAACATACGGTTCATTTACAAGTCATAAAAAAAAAACCTACTTCAGATTTATATTTAGTTGATGTTAGCAATAACACTACCACTCGTATAAAGTTCAAAACTAGGCCAACCAATGTTACTTTATATTTTGTACGTTTCCTATTTTTAAAAATTATATATTTATCGGTTAGACAAAATACAAAATAAAAACACGAAAAATCCATTACGTGATTTGAGGTCACCCTTAGTGTATAGTTTAATGATATAACACAAGAATCAATATTTATAATGTTTATTTAAACATACAAAGTCAAATAAAATGAAAAGTTTCTCAAATTTGTGTCATCGGTTAGTATCCAGGACAAATGTCTCCGGATGTAACGAAGCAAGTTTTGTCATAAAACATTGAACAGCTTATAAAAATAATTGTTATTGTTGCTGTTAATAATAATAGTACAGTTAAACAGTATTGTTTTAGTGTCTCACAATTGACGATAGAAAAAGTAAACTTTTTACAACGCAAACAACAATCTTCGGATTCGAAAACACTCGTTGTCGTCTTCGTGTATGCCTATAAACTATGTTATGCATGTTAGACATCCATAACATAAAAATAAAATAATATAACATTCATTGCATATTGTACAAAACTACAGAGGTACTACTGATAACTAGAATAATGAACCACTTACTAACCGTATGAGTCACACCTAGGCACTTCATTCTCCTACTTAAATTGATTCTGTTATTTAGCCAAATTAAAATTCATTTATCTTCAATATAGTATATTACATTCGTGTGTATATTTCTGCAAAATTTAAAATACCTTATACATTTTTGTATTTTAATTGAGTTTCCACCCATCATCCTAATCTAAATTAAGATAATATAATATGATACAATTTGACTCGAGTTCAGCGTGACCTCGCACTGAAGTTTTTACTCCAAGGTGGAAGTATGCGACGCACGTTTCCACATTAAAACATGTTGTGTTTCTTTAAGTAGCAATTATTGAATTACAGGTAAACCGAGATATCTTAGCATCTACTTCGTGTAGATTTATTTATTATAGTTCAATGCAATGCGCACTGCAGTGATTGATACACTTCTGCCATTTCCGGAAACTTCATGTTGGCCAACATCGTCGTCAACTTTGTTCGACTATGCTGTCTACCGTCCATACGATACGGTTTCGTTTGAATCCACGGTACACTTACATAAGTAGAAAAAGTCATAGAAACTTTAATATCAAATAAAAATAAAAAACACAAATCACTTCTCGTTACAGTGTCAGTTTTAATCTAAAACGGAAGAGGCATGCTATACAGTCGGGGCCGTCCTCCCGGAAATTTCTGGGAACATTTTTATTCCTTATGAACAATATAACAACATCGTTAAGACATCGTTCCTGGGAGTATAACAAGTTAAAACGTGTATTTGTAAGTAATTTGTTTATTTCTTATAATCGGTACTCTGCATAATTTTTAAGTTAAAATTACATTTTAAAAAGCGGACAAGCAGTACAGTAATTGTAGGGCGTACCACGTCATATAAAATTCAATGAATAATAATTGTATACCGTATAACTACTATTAAAAATGTGTCTTAGCAAAAATGGTCTGTCAGCGTATATTTCTAAGGGTATTTTATTTTATATTTATATTGCTATTAAAACAAATCGCATTATAATACTACAATATTAGTATATTTTGTACGACTAATATATTATGTTTTTATTTACATTCTTACTACTTATTAAAATAATAACTATGATTACCAAAAGGTAATAATTAAAATTTTAAATAAATGTTATTTATTTTAGTTTTACCGAATATTTAAAATAGTAGTAATTTCTACTTTTGACTATTTGAAGTACAAATTATACATGATTTAGTACCAGAACCTTCATAAAACAGTGTATGGTACAAAAAAAAACAGAATACAACTTTGTAAATCCAATACAAATAATCATATAGCAGTTTAATATAATTTTACTAGGTATCGTAAAGCGACAGAACAAATAATCTATGCCAAAATAAATATGAGTCAATTATCAAATAAATGTGAATCGTTCATATGTTATAATATATAATTTAACTATTATTCATTTTCACGCTTAAGTTGATAGCTGAAAAATTATGTGCAAATAATGTATTGGGTCTTTTGTGTAGAGCCCATGTGATAACTGATAAGCTGCACCATGTGCAACATAGAATATGTTAACGTTTACCAGCCTAACAACTAACTTAGAGTTGTTGCTCTTTAATAACTTAATATTTTGCATTAATATTTAAAAGTTACCTAATCAACACATTTATACACATTAACACATTCAATATATCTTTAAAATTTATCAACTTATTATTATATTATTTTGTGCACAACTATGTAAACGTATACAAATTTACTAAAAAATACCCTCAAAAGCTAAAATATTGTCAAAACATTAAATTTCAACAGTGGGGTATTTTTGTGAAATACCTTCACCAACAATATTTTTGATTTCAAAAATGTAATCTAAAGTTGTTGTTAGTTTTTCCTACAGAATAAATTAAAGTAGACACTTATATGAGTGTTCACTAGAAGTGCACATTTACTATGATATCATTACTAATTTAACATTATTAATTTTAAATTTAAAAGCTTAATTTATTTTATCATATACAATACTATATTATATAATTCCATTGAGTTTTTTCCCATATAATTTAACTACAGGTATATTATGTGGGTATTGTAATTGACAGTGTTGGGTAAGTTACTTTTAAAAAGTAATTACGTTACGTTACTCGTTACTTAGAGATAAATGTAATAAAGTTACTTTACTCGTTACTCAAATAAAATTGTAATAAAATTACATTAATTTTCAAAAAGAAAAGTAACTACATTACTTTCTCGTTACAAAATTTTTTTTTTAAATTTCTTAGCGATTATAATTTTACTAAACAATAACATAACTAAGTACATTACCTATAGAAAAAAGGTATGGCTTAAAAATGTACAGTTAATGCATAAGTACATAACAAAATTAATTACTTATAACTATTAAAAAATTGTAATAATTAATTGTACTTATATAAGTAAGTATAATGTATAATATGTCATAGACTCACCACATAAATCAACCTATTAAATAAATAAAAAAATAGCTTAATCAAAACCTTTATTTTACAATTACTTATTTGTTTTTTAAATTAACTTTACACAATAGAGTATCTTCGAAGTTCTTATCGCTCATACGCGATCTTTTATGATAAATAGCACCACGTATTAATAGAACTAAATGAAATTATATCTTATAAATTATATAAATAAACCAGTCCAATAACAGTGTTTGGGTATATGTATACGTATTACGTATGTCGTATAGCCCATGCTATAGATATTCATGGAAACGTGTATATTATGTACATATTATTTAGAGGAATCAAATTAAATAATAAATTTAATCTATTCTTGTGATTTACAGTACCTACATTAGACCTGTCAAAACCATGGTGGCGATAGTTCAAATTAAATATATATATATATCTATATATATAATATTAGATTGGTATTCTTAACCCTCACATTATAGACATATTTTTAAAAGATTTTTTTTCAATTTCCAATAGCTACTAAATAATTCAAAACTGTAATGCGTTATACTATAAAAATTACTTATCAAAAGTAATTTCTATTTCATTTCCGTTACTTGAAAATTATAGTAATGAAATTACGTAACTCATTACAAACAAAGTAACGTCGTTACAGTAACGCGTTACTCTCGTTACGTTACTACCCAACACTGGTAATTGATCAAAACACAAAATGAAATATTTGATTGAATTGCGCTATTGAGTATCATAATTCATAATGATTAAAAAATAGCATGTTTATTATTAATTCTCATGCACTTTACGACATGCCACGCTATTCACGAACATTCCTGGGAATTCACTCCATGTTAATTTCCAGGCATTTACCTTCCTCTGGCTACTAGCAGGATTATATTTTCGAACTTCAGACGAAATACCTACCAGTTTCAAGAAAAGTAACAAAAACACGTGCATATAATAAGTGTTTCAATTTTCCAATTTTATTTCCACGAAGCCCATCTCAACAACATATTTTTAGCCGGAGTAATACGTTGTATGCCAACACATAATAATAAGAGCCATTTGTAACAAGATATTTTTATTAGTTTTAGAGGTTGCTATGCTGTTGTGCTGTTACAAAAATTGAATTATAACAGTCGGGTATTAAACATATCATACACAATAAATGATCAAAAATGTTTACACTGAGTATAAAAAAAATTACGATCATTTTTGTTTGAATATCAAAATATTTCAGTTCAATATTTTTCAGATCTATAACGCATTATAGAAATCTGATGTTCAAATTTTGACGAAATTTACATGTTAAAAGAAAATATAACGATTTGTGGCTTGTTGAGGCGTAGTAGAGGGTAGTACGCTCAATCTGAGGCAACGCTCTGAACGTACTTACCAGTCGTCGTTGCTAGCACTCGGATGGATGACCATCCGGGTTTTTAGCGACACATCCTTGCCACACATACAAACGTGTTCCAACCAACCACCCCCGTCCCACACAGTACCAGGCTAATGACCTTAGTAGCTGAAGCCTTAATCCAAAAAAAAAAATATAACTAAGTTATAAAGTTTCAACTAACTAAGGATAATATTCCTAAATTACTACAAAATAACTAAGTTGAAACTTTTTGTCATTATTCATTAAATATATTAATAAACATTATACAATAATATGTTTAAAATATTAGTGCAACCTACCATATTTCTAATACAGAAAAATATATAATATATAAATTAATATCTTTAGAAATAAATAGGATGACAAACCATTTCTAGTCTCCACTCAACATTTTTTATCATACACAAAGATTTATCATTGCATTTAATTGAACAGTGAACACACTACAATTGCATTATCTCGAGATACGGTGCGTAGGTACCTACTATATAATTTTGGAGCGAGTTCTTCATTGTTTTATGTATTATTAATTTCTTAAGAAAGCGCTCAAGAGAGAAGTCAAATTAAAATTTGGAAGTAATTGTCGTTTATTAATAGTGTCTATTATAGTTTTTAGTTTGATAGGATTATTCACTTTTTCGCAAAAATATGTGTGATGTATTTAAGCTTAAATAGTAGTTTGATTCTAAAGAAAAAAACCGACAAAAGGCGTCTTGTAGAAATGTATCATATAATAATAACAATATGTGTAGTCAAAATTACTTAAGCACCTTATGATACAATGAGTATATACCAAAAATTCATTATTTGTTCAAAAAAATTATTTTAAACGCTTAATAAGTTTCGTTTACTTTTCGTTACATAAGATTCAATCGAATGTTAATCAAAATGACAAATTCATATAAGTGAGAATTATTATTTATTTTTGTCAATGCTTTTAATCATTTGGAAATTTATTGTTTCATAATAAATTTATTACATTCAATTTTAATATAATGGAAAACGAAATGAGTAATAGAATGGAAAATATAATGGACAATTTTAAATAGTGTTTGTTTTTACAATTATATATAATTTGTTTTATTCATACTAAATCATAAAACGAGTTTTTGGAATGAATGAGTCCAATTTTAGAAGATTTAGTTTGTTACGTGCTGTATAATATGGAGTTGAGCAATACAATTCCATAAATTAAATTGTTTGTCATATTTTCAGAATGATTATTATAATAATATAATATAACCTAGTGTTTTACATGCTCATAAAATATGAAGAAATTGATTGTCGTATTACATTTCTCTCCTCTATTCAAATCCATGAATACTATACCACTATACCAGTACCATTATGTTATAATATAATATAAAATTGGTGTTCGACCACCGTAGTTTTAGTATAAACATTGTTCTTCCGCCGACTGCGACGTCACAGCGTATTCTCGTGGGCTGTCGTTTTCGTTTAACTTCAATTTAAATAACTTTGAACATTTTCGTAAAATTAAAATCCGTGGTCTCGTTATCGCGTGGCCCGCACCCCCCGGACTGTCACCGTTGTTATTATCTTGAAATATTATATATTGTATAAACGAATATTATTTACGGTGAAAACGAGTGAAACGAGCGGATTGCGTGCGAATTACGACGGCATACCACAATGCTCGCATTATAATAATATTGTGAACATGAATCTCTGGTGACACCACAACGTGTCGTGCCCATGATTTTAGATAGTTGTGTAAACACACTAAAGTAGAAAATAATGAAAAAAAGTGTATTTATATACTTGGCACTCCGACATTCGTATAAGGTGTTTACAATAAAAAGTATAGGCAAGGTCATGAGAGTGAAAAATGATTTTCCGGTTTTTCAATGTTCTAAAACAATTCTTCCGCATTTAGTTTTTCTTTAATTTTCCATATCGTTGTAACGAACAACTAATTGCATCATATTGACCATTAACTTACTCAAAATTCTTAACTAAATGTATATGTCACTATATTTCAATTATGGTGCTCGTTGGTGCTGAAAATATATACAAAAAAAATGTGACGTAACATTCCATAAGGTTAATATTTTTACTTCTTCATGGTTCTTGATTCATATTCATATTCTGCAGAGATCTTGATTTGAAAATGTATTATTTTAGTAGTATCATATTTTAATGACTGTTGGTGTGAAATAAGTGTAAGATATGTGACGAACTTTGTTCAAAATGTCTTTATTAATAAACTAGAAACTATTTTCTGAATTATTATACTTAAATAAATATAGATATTATATATAGGATACATTAAAATGATCAATCTATCTACTAAAATAATATTAATATATAAAAAAAAAGTGAATAAACCTACTTTTTCAATCTAAAAATTCTTACATGATTTTTTTTTTGAAAAATATTATTCAGTGTATGTATACAGCTTATACTATACACAGTTGTACTAGTCATCCGTTGCCAATTTATAAATTGAATACTACCGCTTTAATATTTTTGTGACATTATAATATGTATTTTCTAATTGATGATTTATAAATTTATAGCTCAATACTAAATAGAGGTAATTATTAGATAGAGGTTTTTCGTTATTGGTATATTATGCATTGTAAAAAATTAAGATCAGTTTTTTTCTAGAAAAATTATGGTTTACGGATAATCATAAGAACTGTGTAAGAAGAAAAAAAGCTCTTAATACCGACGCAAATAAAAATATACTCCCGGTCTAAGATTTTCTCAGACATTTCGTGGTGGAAGCTGCAGACCCTTCAGCTCTCCCCCCCCCTTTTTTCCTCCGTAAAACGCCCCTGGTTGTATATTATAATATTATTGTTATTTATTATTATTATCCTCACTGCGCGTCGGTCGACCATTGTCGTCCTGTAATAATTTATAGTAATATATTTTACATAACGGTGTCGTGTTCACTTACACTGGTCTTGGCTGAGTACCGTGATGCGTCCGGTAATTGACGGCCACGTCTTCCAACATGTCACTAAAAGTCTCACTGGAATCATATCCGTTAAGTCTGACCCTTTCCGGAGTGAGCTGAATAAAAAAAAAAAAAACCCATAAACAAATGAAATAATAGCTTTTTATTGTACACTGCCAAATATGTTTTTTGGGACTAACAGTTTTTTTTTCTTCACATTTTATGGAATATGAACATTACTATGGTGTTATTTTAATACGTTTATGCCGTGAAACTCGTAAATTCAAATTTGGACACAAACGAATACGATAGTTACCTACGCGTTGTAGGCGCCTATAATAGAAATCGATAAAACTCTGTTAACCGATGGTTCGTTGGTTGCACGAGGGTTCGCCTCACCGAGCTGCCAATAGTTATAGCTGGAATATATTATATTATATGTGCGATGTGGGCATAGTGCACGTGTGTTAATTAACGTGTACTTCATTAGTGGAATTAAATAAATAAATGTGTAGTTATTCGAACGTGTCTTAAGCACTCGTAAATTCGAAGTAATGGTAAAATTCAAATTCAAAATCTACGGTCGTAAAATATTATATTCGTTTGATTTTATTTCAAGTATAAATATGACGCACATATTATTACATATTTTTATACAGTTTATGTAACTAGAAGAAAAACAATATTTGACGATCTGGAAATAATTAAGAAAATAATTGTTCTTGCTCTGTCTAAAATAATAATAATGATAATAATAAATGACAATATGAGAGACACACAATCGACAAAATGTATTATTATAATTACAATAAATACTTAAAGATTAAAAAAAAATCAGTGAATTATTCCGCTCCACATAACACAAAGTGGAAAATAGATATCGTAATGTATTATCTCTTTAAATTTGTATAATTTACAAAGTTTAGTGACGTACAGTGTAGTTAGGACTATAATATTACCATTGTATAATAAGGCACAAACCATGTGCATAATTATTTTGTTTGGATTCAATTGGTTGTATTTGCTTTAAAGTTTGAGGGAAATGTCTGTATTGATATAATATATTAAGTAGGCACTCCCGGGGCTTCACGCGAGTGCTGTAGTCATAGTATTATAGCTCCGCAGAGGGGCTCAATAAGTTGACTTCCTTATTGCACAAAGTACACAAATACTAACAACTTAAGTTCAACAATAATATCATACACACGACTCAGTTGCCGATTGTTTTTCATTAAGTATAGCGTATTAAAAAAATTTATATTTCTTTTGTATCGTATTCGTTTTCTGTTTGCGTATATGGTATCTAAGACAACAAACATTAGGAAAGTTTATTTTCCGTCATTGACGACCGCATTACTGTTAACGATTTGTCGATAAGAATAATGGCAATATTTATGGTGTTTTGACGTTATCAAATGTACAATCAACCTAAGGACTTTTATAATAATGCGTATAAAAAATGGATTTTTTTTTTAGACACGCAATAAAGATTTCTTCATTTGTCAGATTCGTAAAAATGAAAGTTATAACGTCTTGATAACAGTTGTAACATGTAAAAACCATAATAATAAATAATAATTAATGATAAAGTGCATACAACAATAATATGTAGAGGGTTATTTCTAATGCATCAACCAGCGGTTAAGTATTAATGTAACACTTTAAATGTTGTAAAAATAATGCCCACGTATTAGGAACTTACTGAAATTACATATTGTCATATTGATAATATTATATTATGTACCAATCAGAAACTCTGCACTTTTGGTATTTAATTTAATCATCGGTTCATATACCTTACAATGGTACCTATTAATATATAGCTATATAACTGTATTTTGCTTGGGAATGTCAAATTAAAAATGTTTTTTTTTTTATTTAAAAAGAAAAAATATAAGTACGATTTTTCTTACAAAATTCCTTTTTTTATTATTGACCTTAAGTTAATATGTAAACAAACATAATATTTTCAAATACGTTGAGAGTTTTTGAGATGCTTTAAGTGTAAACTATAAAAATGATGTCTTAGTATTATTATAGAATAATATATGATGTGTTAACTCGGATTTTAGTTAGAATTATTACGATACGAATTTCTAATTTGACTGCTCTAAGTATAAACACGCTAGGATATTATACTGCATTATAATATTTGAATACTCTGATAATATATTGTATAAATCAAGTTTTTGTTTTAAATTTACATCAAAATAAATATTTAAAATTGTTTACATAAATTAATGTAAAAACTTTTGAAAATATACAACATCTCGTTGGTCGATCAAAGAAAATACTATGTTATTACTTATACATTACCTACCGGAAATTAGATATCGAGAAGTCAATTTGTAACTTCGGATGAGATATTACCTGAGGATCGTACTCAGCTGGTTCTCCGGTGAAGTTTTCCGAATAGCAACTGTTGTCGGACAGATTTCCCGAAGATTCATTGGAACCTATGCAAAAAGGAGTCGGCACGCTGTCCATGGTGTTGACGAATTACAATTGGAACTATTCATCTCGGGAGTATAAAATTGTGGATTACACTAAGACGTCGTCGTACAATATAAATTACGATCAATTGAGCTCACATGTGACCTTAGTGACTAGTGAGGCCGCGTTCACAGCAGAGAGTAGTTAAATTGACATTGTTGTGCGACACACTTACGTGTAACCAACAATAGGTTATATTGACGTTTTAAATATTAACGTCAAAAAGTTGCTTATTTCGAGATACGATTTAAAATAATTCCCATGTTTTTATGTTAAGTTATATTTTCATTCAAAACCATATTTTAGATTTTGTGTATAGCGATGAATGTTTTCGTTTCAAAATGTTTTTTTTTGTCTGTTACCATGTTGTAGAGCATAAAAAAATGTTTTGATTTTAAACATCGACGAGGGTTGTAGGTAGACAATTTGTTTGACAAACCAAAATATAAACTGAATATTAATTACTTATAATCGAGAAATTATTTCTTTTAATATTCACGAATCTTGAAAATGTATTAATTAATTATTTTAAATTCCGTGAACACAACTACAATATGTTTATGTAAGACACACGCTAAACATAAAACAACTGACAAAAATACACCCTAATTAAAGTAAATTTGTTAGTTGTAATCATTAGGGTCTGAAATGTCCTATTCAATGTATGAAATCGTATGATCAACAGACTGACTTAACGTATTAAGCTTTTCGAGTTATACTCTCAATGCGCCTCGTAAAATATAAACTTTAAATTATAAGCTTATGTGTATGCTGTAAACAACAGAATATTCAATTTCACTAGGGAAAATCACAAAAACATTGTGACAGCAGTGTCTTCCTAACCGGATATACATATTATAATATGCGCATATATACGGACATACCATTATATATTAAATATTAATATATCATTTAAATGTACAAAATATAATAATAATAATATATTATAATATGGGAATAAATAGAATATCGTATAATCGGACAATGCGTCAATATACGTCAACCGTCGCCGTAATCCATACCAAGTCATGCGGTTGGCAATTTCAAATCGATTTGCCAAAAAAATAAAAATAATAAAACCTCCCCCTCCCGATCGCAGATGGATATATTATTATGCTGGCTGCAGGATTTCTCCGACGGCTTGGAAAATTATTTCTATGAGATAAATAAACATTGTCCCGTTTGGTATTGTCTATATATACACACGCACGTCATGTGAACAAAATGGCTCGATGTACATTATTATCATTATTATTATTATTATTATACAAAAAGGTTTTCGTGATTTGTTTGGCGTATTTAAATTCTGCACATACAAAGTGTAATATAATGTCCTCAACGAGGATTTTCGTTGTGATATCGGGACCCACATGCGTACACACACTTATATTCTTGTATTATTGGTATGAACCCTTTTTCGGACGCCCAACAGGAATAACCTTTACATACTCAAACAGAATAACTTAGACGTCCGTCTAGGATTATTCGTTGAACGAGTTCCAACTAATGCGTTTCTAACTACGGTGGATACGCATTACTATATAGGTGTATATATATATATATACATGTATTATAAGTGGATATTGGATAATATATGAACATATAATATTATTATATAATCATGCAAATGTAAACTCGATGATTTAGAACCGACGAAATAGCCGAATTTGATTTCAATTAAATATTTAAAACCGTTCGTTTGCCGACTAGGTGGAGGTGGAGTGGAGATTCAGTCAGATCATCTATAGGTACTTCGAAAAGCTGCATCCGGTACCATTATTGATGCGGTCAATAACGAATATACATTCAGGGAAGACTTATATTGTCTACGCATTTCCGCTGTATTAGCCGTATTGTCTATGACTTGAATTAAAAAATTTACTGAAAAGATGTCACTGTAATCTGAGATGCAGGTTATGGTACATATTAATAAACTCCATTGAGCTAAATTTTATCTCACACGCAGAGACAATATTTTAATCGGATATCTTCATTAGGGAACATCATATAAACAACCAAACACTATATTGATAATTACATATATATATATATATATATATATGACAGTTTCCTCGCGAGCAATATAATATCATTACACGTTTTTCCCATTTGATTCCGAGTATTTTGAAAATCCGTCATCTTCGTACAATAATAGTTGGTATAAATAAGTTTTTAACAACACGGCGATGACCCAATTCAATTTTATCATTATATTAGATTAGAAACCATTAGACAATGTACGTTTAGAAACTATTACACACGACGTTATAACTTATAACGTAGGTAGGTATAATAATATATAAGCTATTGTTCTAAAAAAAAAAAAAAAACGCAAACAAAATCGATAATAGAAAAATGTGCCTACGCAACGATGGCGTATCGTTATTGCAGTTATCATAATAACCACGACGATTTATACCGGAAATATAAATCCGCAAACGATGTCGACTTATTGGATTAACATTGAACTTTTCGTAAGTAGGTAATAACGTGTAACGTGGTTGACTAAATTCGTCGACGGTCTTCGCGATTTCGCTTTAACGTACGGGGCCATATAATACTGCAGGTACAAATGTCGCGTATAATAATATTATATAGAGTGGGCACGATTATACTTTGAAGA